GACTCCAAACCATTGTTATATCTCAGTCACACTGGCATGCACACCGACTCCAAACCATTGTTATACTTCAGTCACACTGGCATGCAAACCGACTCCAAACCATTGCTATACCTCAGTCACACTGGCATGCAAACCGACTCCAAAAACATTGTTATACCTCAGTCACACTGGCAAGCAAACCGAATCCAAACCATTGCTATACCTCAGTCACACTGGCATGCAAACCGACTCCAAACCATTGTTATACCTCAGTCACACTGGCATGCAAACCGACTTCAAACCATTGTTATACCTCAGTCACACTGGCATGTAAACCGACTTTAAACCATTGTTATACCTCAGTCACACTGGCATGCAAACCGACTTCAAACCATTGTTATACCTCAGTCACACTGGCATGCAAACCGACTCCAAACCATTGCTATACCTCAGCCACACTGGCATGCAAACCGACTTCAAACCATTGTTATACCACAGTCACACTGGCATGCTGGTATAGCCAATAGAGAAATCGGATAATGTGAAATCACCATGTTCGCACATTTGAAAAATTGACGCACGCTGCCAATGAAAATTACCATGGCCTTATTTTGTGCGTGTGTGTGTGTGTGTATGTGTGTGTGTTTGAGATCATGCTTTAACTTATTGGCCCGAATTCACAAAGGAGGTTTAAAATTAAACCCATGGTTTAAACCTTCATTTACATAACCCATGGTTTAAACCTTCATTTACATAACCCATGGTTTCAACCTTCATTTACATAATTCATGGTTTAAAACTAGCGCAAAATAAGCGCAACACACATTAGGCGGTGTCACACATAGGCCAAAAATCCGGATTTTAGTTATCCGGATTTTAGTTATCCTCTTAAATTGCTGTCTGTCATCAATTATCCCATTCAAAATCCTTTTAAGGTACTATGTCCCATTTGCAGGCCAAAAAAATGAAAAGGTTAAATTCCAACTGCATTTGAAAGATAATACTATTTTAGAACTTCCCTAGAAAGGTGGGGCTTGAAAATGTCTTCAAGTGGGAAAATAACGACTATTAGTTGTCAAATCGACTTTAGGGCTATAGAGCTCAAAAGTAATAGTCTTGATTTTCAGACAATTGTACCGAATGGTCATACATTTTATGCTGCGCAAAGATTCAATCACTTTAATCTTGGCCATCACAAGAAGTGGGTTATTGATGTAGACAAATGCTCATGTACCCTTTACAACTCTTTTCATGTATGTTATTACCAAAGAAGAAGAAAAGCCAGTCAGTCACTCAATAGTGTCTGACAGTGAAGTCTAGCAAGTAAACGGGTTTCCTTGCATAAATTGAATATGAGGACACTGCTAAAGTTTAAATTTTACAGATAGGACATACATGACATATTCATAATTCCTACAAAGTTCTACAGCATTTGAGGTTGGCTGCAAAAGGGACATAGTACCTTAGCAAGAAAATTCTCCCTTGAAAGGATTTTTCAAGGGATTTTTCTGTGTGACACCGCCTACAGTCAAGAGGTCGAATATTATGCGCATGGGTTATGTAAATGAAGGTTTAAACCATGGGTTATGTAAATGAAGGTTTAAACCATGGATTAAATGTAAACCTCCTTTGTGAATGTCTCATGGAATAGATAAGTAAAAACAAATGAAGTCAGCTTACCGTCAACGCATTGTGCATCAATAAGTAGAGTCCTTGTTACCAGAAGAAGAAATGCTATTCGGCAAACGCAATGACGAATCTCACGAAGCGATCTAGGAAAGTGAATATCCATTGCTCTGATATATACGGATACCATAGGCAGAGAAGATAAGAAATTTAATGCAAAACAATAATTCACTGGCAGCACCGATCACGAATAGGATGTAAAGCGATAATGTCAAATGCGAATATTTCAACGTATCACCTTTAAATCACAATGCCCCTTTCTCTGCCTGTTTTCCCTCTCAAGTTGGCCTAATAATATGTTGGATCTCACAAAATCAATATTATGCTAAAAGTATGCGCGCTTTGAACCAATAAGAAGAGCGTTCTGTAAGTGAGCATCGCACAAAATCAATATTATGCTAAAAGTATGCGCGCTTTGAACCAATAAGAAGAGCGTTCTGTAAGTGAGCGGAAATATCATGAATCAATTTTTTATTCAGTTAATAATAAGTACTGAAATTCTCATTGCATGACGTCATTTTGTGGCGAGTAAAACGAGGACAAATGATGTAAATAAAAAAAGGATTTGTTAAAAATGCGGTTACCGTGACCATGATTGTATTTTTTGCTTATAGATGTCTAATTAAGCGTTAAATGTTGATTGATCAGTTACTTTGTGCCATGTTTTGACTCAAATGCTTGCTAGTCTACATTTCAGTTGCTATACATGACCACATAATAGGTATATCGTGTCTTTACAGGCAGGCTGAGGGGGAAGCATCAACAAAAAAGGGCACTTTCTGAAAAAGGGAGGGGCACCCACAAAAAGTAACCTAATAACGAAAAGTTACAAATTGATAACATTGTTACAACATTATCGGGGTTGATCTTCAGAATTTTAACTTGACGTGGTCCAAAATATTACTTCGTCATCATAATTATGTTGTTTTTGTGTATGATGGTCTGCTTATTCCATTGCGAGCGTGCCAGGGGAGCCAACAAAATTGTAAAAGATCTTTTTGAGGTTACATTGCGACCGATTAGTTCTGATTATTAGAGGAAATAACCGATCATGATTGGGTTTTAAGCACAATCTCATTAATGAAAGTTTGAAAAAATTGCTCTCAGCCGCCTTTGGGTATGGTCTAAGTTAGGAATTTCTGGGGGAGATGAGGGGGTGATAACAACATAATTATCATATAGCATGTAGAGTAATGATGTGTCTCAATCTTTTTAAATTGAATGACATTTTATATAAATGCAGTTGCCTTAAGTTTGAAAACTCATAAACCGTCTGTTTTTTTTTTATATTTGTGTGGTTTGTGTGTGTAAAAGAGAGCTATTTATTCCCTTGGCCTATAGTGAAGGGAGTGAAGGGAAGGGAAGGAGGCGGATGGGGGGGGGGGCGAATGGGGAGGGGAGGGGAGGGAAGGGAGAACCGAAATACATATAGGACAAGACAGACAGGCAGACCGAATATGAAAAAAGGGAGATCATGCATAAAATGAAAAATTGTGGAGACCGATATTTATAACTCTTAATTGTTGTAGTTTTATTTAAAGCAATGTTGCAAAGTTAGTTAGGTGTCTAAGTACCAGGGGAAGGAGAAAACATGATTATTTAGGATGCATTTCCAACGCCTCTAAAACTGACAACCCCTCTTGAAAAGGTTTGGAGATGTGAAAAAGAGGGGTAAATACAATTGGGGAGTTGCAACAGCGTTCCCTTTTGTCATGTTTCGTTTTTGAAATCTGTCTTTTTTTCTCTTTTCAGGCGTAGAGAGCAGTCTAGGTAAAGAGGTGGCCGTTCACTTTGCATCTCTTGGATGTTCCCTTGCTTTAGTAGGAAAGAATCAATCGAAGCTTGATGACATTGCTCGAGACTGTATCAGTTAAGGACTTATTTCAAAACAGGTATTTTATAGAGAATATTATACTGGATCTAAATTCAATATTCAGCATGTCGAGAAAAAAAAACATAACACATGAAGGAGTTCTTCATGGTTTAGTTCTAAGAAATAATCTAACTTGAAAATAATCATATACCCAAAAATAATAATACACAAAAATAAAAATATAGCGAAGGCATACAGGAATAAAATATTTTCACACCTTATCAAGAGGAGCTATTTTTACAGTAAATATTGTGGAACTGTAAACCATTTTCCCGGATGCAAAATTCTATTTCTATCAGTATATACGACAACGTATTAAGGCCAATCATAATTATTGATGAAGAAATAAAGATTTTCCCCATTTTGATCCAGGTCTTGGCAGTCCGGTGTGATCTAAAACAAGAATCTGATTTCGAGAATATATTTTCTAGGATTTCTGGACAGTTAGGACCATTGCACGTATTGGTAAGTTTACATGTTTGGTACTTAGATTTCATCGATAGAGTTTAGCTATTCAAACCAATAACATGGGCAATACGAATCAGTCCAGATTATTATGGGATGCAATTCTGCAATTAAAGTGTATTGTCACGAATTGAAATATATATTTAAACAAATAAAAATATACGTATATGCCTGTATATGTTAGTTTAGTTTATTAGTATATAGTAATGTTAGTTTAAATACTTATGTAAAGAAAGAATTTTTTAATGAGATAATTTGTTGATATCACTCTCTTGAATCCAAATCTTCCTCTTCCACTCGCCACATATCCTCTCTTCCACCCTCTCTCTCTCTCTCCCTCTCTCTGTCTCTCTCTCTGTCTCTCTATTTCTTCCTATCTCTCTCTCTTTTATATCCCCCCTCTCTCTCTCTCTATCTCTATATCTTTCTTCCTCTCTCTCTTTTATATCCCCTCTCTCCCCTTCTCTCTCCTTCTCTCTCTCTCTCTCTCTCTCCTTCTCTCTCTCCGCTCTTCTCTTCCACTCCTTTATCCTCACCATTCTCTCTCTCTCTCTCTCTCTGTCTCTCTCTTTCTTCCTCTCTCTCTCTCTCTCTCTCTCTATTGGCCTATAGGTGCAGGGATTAGCTCTATCACCACCTTTGTGAATAGGCGTCACCCGGGCCCTTTTCCAGGCACCAGGAATTTCCCCTTTCTTAATGATGCATTGATGATTATGAGTTAGCGGTTTAACAATGTATTCAATAGAATCGTTTACGAAACTGGCTGGTATTTGATCGAGGCCAGTGGCCTTATTCCTTGCAATATCATAAATACATTTAAAAAAGGATGATTATGATGCTGTTCGTGATGATGATGATGACGACGACTACGATGAATATATATTGACCATGATGATAAGGACGATAGGTACGGAATAGTTAATAATCCAGTGACAAAGAATAAGGCAATAATGGCTATACACTGGCACACAACAATTTAGAAAGCAAATTTGTTTACCGCGAGTATGCTCCAAGTACGATGGTGCCGCTTTCGCTGCCATGGTAGTTGTCAGAGTATTGACTTGCATGGCATCATCGATCGCTGAGGGCGTCAACTCAGACAATCGTCCGAACGATATTGCTCCTTAACAGTTAATCTGAAATTGAGGATTAATAATTGAGAGAGAGAGAGAGAGAGAGAGAAAGAGAGAGAGAGAGAGAGAGAATGAAAGAAAGAGAGACAGAGAGAGTGGTGTGGATAAAGGAGTGGAAGAGAAGAGAGAGAGAGAAGGAGAGAGAGAGAGATAGAGGGGGAAGGGACAGAGAAAGAGAGAGAGAGAGAGAGAGAGTGGTGTGGATAAAGGAGTGGAAGAGAATAGAGAGCGAGATAGAGGGGGAAGGGACAGAGAAAGAGAGAGAGAGAGAGAGAGAGAGAGAGAGAATGGTAAGGATAAAGGAGTGGAAGAGAAGAGAGAGAGAACTAGAGGGGGAAGGGACAGAGAAAGAGAGAGACAGAGAGAGTGGTGTGGATAAAGGAGTGGAAGAGAAGAGAGAGAAAGATAGAGGGGGGAAGGGACAGAGAAAGAGAGAGAGAGAGAGAGAGAGAGAGAGAGAATGGTAAGGATAAAGGAGTGGAAGAGGAGAGAGAGAGACAGCGAGAGAGAGAGGGGGAGGTAGGGACAGAGAAAGAGAGATATAAAGACAGAGAGAGAGAGATAGAGAGAATGAGAGACAGAATGAGAGACAGAATGAGAGAGAGAGAGAGAGAGAGAGAGAGAGAATCCTAATTATAATTGTGAAATTAAAAAGAATGATAATTTTATACCAACTTTAATCATCTAAGGAAGATGTAAAACTGTCAAAAAATACAGTTTCTTTCTCTGAAACCCCCCTTCTTTTGTCCATTGTCGCCCTTAGTCAATGTCATTCGCAATCTTCTTTTTACCTCAAAATTCATAATTTTGTAAAAAGTTCAGTCAAGGGCTACAAACTGAGAAAGTATACAGCGCCACCATCGTCTAAAAATGATGTCATGTCTACTGAAGATGTGAAACTACCGGAGAAGTTACCCGAGAGTGTGACGTCAGTAGTCAGGTAGTCCCATTATTGAGTTGTGTTTATTGTTGGTCTCCTACCCCCCCCCCTTCCTCTCTCCCTCTTCCAATCTCTCTCTCTCTCTCTCTCTGTCTGTCTCCCTCTCTGTCTACCCCTCACTCTTTTTGCCCCTCTTTCTGTCTCTGTCATATATCTCTCTTTTTATGTCCTTATATCCCTAAGTATATTCCATTTAACTTCCTCTTCCACTAGCCCCCACTCTCCCTTTCTCTTTCTCCCCCCCCCCTCTCTCTCCCCCTCTCTCTCTCTCTCTCTTTCTCCCTCTCTGCCTATCCCTCATTCGATTTACCCCTCCCCCTCTAGAGCGCCACCATCGTCCAAAAATGATGTAATTTGTCAACAAAAGGCGTGGAACTAGCAAAGAAGTTACCCAAGACAATGACGTCAGGTATCAAGCCTTCTATTGCGATTTGTTTAATAATAACAATATTATATTCAGCTTTTATATGGATGGTTTATTTGTTAGTCTTTCTCTCTCTCTCTCTCTCTCTCTCTCTTTCTCTCTCTCTCTATTTCTCACACTCTCTCTCTCTCTCTCTCTTTCCCTCTCTCTTTCCCTCTCTGTCTATCCCTCACTCTTTCCCCCTCCTTCTCTCTCTGTCATATTCCTCATCAGATGAAAATTTAACAAGTCTAAACTGGAAAACACTTGAAAATAGCAGAACAAATAATTTAGCAATTATGATGTATAAGATTGTCTCAAAACAAGCTCCTGAATATTTAGTAGGCAGGTTTATATCTGCTGACCATACATGATACATACAATATACGTTCAAGTCTGTTTAATGTGAAAAAAATAAGACCAAAGACTGAGACTATGAAACAAATCTTTAAATATAGAGGGGCTTTAACATGGAATAACTTGCCACATGATGTACAAGGTGCTAAATCATGATTTATTCATTGTGGTATAAAAACATTGTACATGGCAGCCTTTTGGCTGAATTGAGTGCAATTTAAATAAGTAATAACACAAGGATACTGCACAAAATACAATAGTATTACAAAGTCATTAAAAATAGTACTTAGGTACACCTTAGATCAAAGAATATTGATGGTAGGATAACGGAAGTGGGTAATGGATGTGGAAAAATAAGTGTTTTATGATATGACTTAAGCAAATTCATAGAGAGAATATAACAGTTGAATACATTATGATCAGTGCTAAAAAAAATATATGTTTTGCATGGTTCAAAGTAGGCCTATTGTCATATGGGTGCTATACTGAATAAGGCAAAGCTGTCGTAATACGAAATAAGACTGTGTGGGGGAGATGGTAACTTTTTTAAAAGTGTTTATGTAAGATTAAACTGATCCATTTTCATATGTTCTTAGATATTTATTATTATTCCATACTTCATTTTTACTTCTACACAATATGGAATACGAATTTGTCCTAATTTCAAAAGTATAATATGAGTAATGCATAGTTTTGTACATGTTACATGCATATTGTGTTTAATTTTGTTTTTGTTTTAAAGTTTTTAATTATTTAATATTTAACATAAATACATACATATGTTCTTAACGTATTTAATATCTATTGACACTATGTTTTTTAAAAACTATATATATATATATATATACCGACAGAGATTTTGATGATTATAACTTATTTAAAATGTTTATCTTTTAGGCCTATCAATATAGTCTTAATTAACTGATATGTGTTTTTAGCTTATTTTCTTTATTGTTGTGTTATGGTTGTAAATTTGTCAGTGTTATATTAGTTTTGGTTATATGTCATGATTATGTTGCTTTTTATCAGCACGGCCCTGACTGCGAACTGTTTCGGGCTTTAACCGTGTATAAATAAAATAAACTCAACTCAACTCTCTTTTTATGTCCCTATATCCCTATGCATATTCCATTTAAATTCCCCTTTCACTTGCTCCCACTCTCCACCTCTCTTTCTGTCTCTCTCTCTCTCTCTCTCTCTCTTTCTCTCTCATCTCTCTCTCCCTCACACACACACAAACACACAGTGTCTTTCCAACCACTATATAGTAGTCTATATCACAATACTATCAATCTCTCAATGTCGTCGAATGGAGAAAAGTCTACAGCGCCCTCATCGGTTACATATAGTTGCTTGTCTACCGAAGATGTGGAACTAATGGAGAAGTTGTGAGCATCCACCATCTTAATCAACTAAAGGTGTGGAAGAAGCATTGGACTGTGTAGGCCGCATTAGATAAGACAATCCGTTTGTGTTAACATTTATCATGGAAGGGTGTAGAACACAGCACCAAGATTTGTTAAAGAGCCAATCTTTTCCAAGGAATTTCCAATTCAATGCTGAATGTAATCTTTGATTACAAATGTACAGATCACTGATATTAAAATAATTGAAACATGTGATAAATTAAGCTTGCTGCTCATAGAAAGTCTGTACTTACATATATCTACTTTTTGGCAAAACTTAGCATTAAAGATAAAGGTGAGTTTTGGTCATCCGATTGCATTGTGAAAGAAAATGTGTGGAATGGATCAGAAAAAGTTGATCACGTAGCATGTAAGTATTGGCGTGTACTGCAAAGTTCTGGAGTCATCAAAATCATAATAAATTTAGCCCAGTCTTGTTAAAGTAACAAGCACTGTACACGGAAAGATGTATGTGGGACTACACAAATGGTGTCGGGGCTACTGACCTTGATTTCCTAATCTTTCTATGCTCATTACTCAGCCATGCAATTTCTACCAAAATTGTTTGGCAAATGACATTTATTAGTAATTTTGAACATTCAGTGTATGTTTCGTTTGATTCTTTTTTTAAACCAGAACTCACCTTTGTATCAAATTAAATAACGTAAATTATCTTGTCATTCGGCTTTGTTGAGTGCTGGAGTGTGGCGTCGCAACAGCCACACCCCCTCAGCCTGTCGTTAGTATGATGCATTTGTATACAACTGTTATTTTATTTTGTTTTGTTTATGTTTTTGTTTTAATATATATAAACAATTTTTTTGTCTCTCTGGTGATCCCCTCCTAACAAGCCCTTGAGGGTTTTTCGGGACACCCTTTTCTTTCATTTCTTTGTATTTATTTGTATTACTAGCTCAAATGTATCTATTTCTCTGTTGTCAAATGTAATCGATGTAAACATGAAATTATGCATGACATACTGTTAATTTGTTTGTTTTGTAATTGTACATATTGGAAGAATATAATAAACGAGAGCTGTATGCTCTCTCAATCAATCAAATCTAAGTAAATCACAATCTCAGATAACTTTTAAATTCTAAGGTGATCGTTTTTCAGGTTTTCTGTCAGGATTGTTGTTATTAATCTTTCACATTCTGTCGATATCCACCTATTCCTTTAGTGTTCAAGAAACTCTAGAATCTAGAACGTACATAGGGTTTGGTTTCAAACACCCTCTTAATCGCATTAGCCCACGTTTACGTGTTACTTTCCAAGGGTAATCTAATTGTACTTTTTATCTATATGTATTTAGCTCTGATCTAAGTTACCAAATATGATATTTCTTCTCATTTGACTAAAAAAAGTTTGTTTAACACTTTTGTCATTCGATATATGTTTATCTTGTTTTCGTCATCGCTTCAATACATCATCTGCAACCAGCTCTGTTTCAACTTCATTTCAACTCTACTTCGTTGGTTTTTATTCGTTTCAGTATTTATTTAGCTCCCCTCATCTCTCACCACGATCATTCTTTTTAGGGAGATGAGGGGAGGGGGTGTCAAGAGAAATATGTAATAAAGGAGGATAGAAAGTTAAATTTGTTTTATTAGAATAGATTGATTATCCTGTCACAGGTAGTCGATCATTATACACGAAATTGTCCATGGTCTCTGTATCTTTATAATGCGTTATTCATTTCTTCCTTCGATGATCACTATTATTTACTTTTCCCTCAGCAAGTGAGGAACATATTTTTAAATCCAGTTCAACCAAGATGTGGTTTAATACCATGTTCACACCTTTAGTTCATTTTTTTTTTCATTT